GAAACGAAATTAAATGACTTGAGCAAAACAATTACATGGAGCCGTTAAAGCAACCGGTGAACACTCGTGTTTATTTCAGTTACCATGGAGACGTAATTTGTGATTAGCCCCGGTCCCTTTCAAATTGTATCATTATTTATGAACGGCCTTATATTTGAAATGACGTTTCACATTCATCTAGTGATGTCCGATTTTCATTCGAATAATCGTTTAATCGATTAACGAACCGAAAAGTAAACTATTTATAGTCGGTTAGATCATGCCGATATAAGCATTAACATCTCCACAGGATCATCACCGATCGTTTCAAACATGTGCTGCACTCTCATTCGTGGAAAAATGGCAGCACAGCGAACAAAAAATAATCGATTAGTTGTTAATCGAGTAATTAAAAAATGGGACATCTCTGATTTTGGTGTGATTGTTTTGATAAAAATGAGCGCAAAATTTCATCTCTTCCGAGGGGGCAGCAAAACCACAAAATTACCTTGAATACGGGGGGTTCTCATTGGATGAAAGGGACCGTGAAAGAAGACACTAAAATAGAAAGTTTTTCTTTCGACAGTTTCATCTTAGTATTCATCTTTGGTTAAAGTGCAGAAGCATCTACGTTCTGAACTGCTTGGATAACAATAATGTGGCTCAGAATGCACGAAATTACACTTTTTGTTACCAGATTAATCTCTATTAAATGAATGAGATTTTGACAAAGGTTTTTGTGTGCATCAAGTCTATCAGTAACTATGTGATTAACAATTTTGTTAATTTGAAAGTCTGTCAATGACAATACCAAATCTCAGCACTGCTGAGGGGAACTTCAATGGATTGTTTGATTGACGTTAAAAAAATTTCACGCGCATTTCACAGTGTAAAGTTTGGTATTGTTATTTTCACAGCATTAAAACTCGCAAATTTAGAAAGGCTTAGGGTTTTTGCTAAAAACGCTTTCAAGTCTTGATTTCAGTGATGAATGAAAATGATTTCCAAATTATTTCTATTAACACTTTATATTCCATTCGAATGCGCCTCACTAATTATGACTACAAAATCACCGACAAACCGACATGGCACTTAATTCTGACTTATGCCCGAAAATTGTAAACGGCCGATTTAAATGTGCAGTGAACCAAACTGTCAAAACCATAGGATTTTTTGATCTAGATAAAAATAATTTGTCCAGAATAGATCAGACACGATCCAATTAATAACTTTTGCATGCGGGTTCATGGCTTAGCTAAATATTTCCCGCGAACATGGAGCCAGATGTCAGTAGTGTACTTTGGTCAGAAATTTTATTGATTTTTGCTATGCTCATTCATGTCGGTTTGTCGGTGACGAAATGTCAAACTAAATGTGACGTCTATTTTTGACGTACAAACATAGAGGTAACTATAAGACCAGAAGGTTCCGAAGAAACGAGCTCAACTTTTAGGCTCAGCTCTGGTACTATCTTCGGTCCCAAGCTAATCGATGCGCCCCTCGAAATATATAAAAATCCACGAAACCCTCATTTTATCTGTCAAACTTTCATAGCGAATCAAAACAAACATAGTGTAGTACTGGAATTTATACTACAATGGGATACGTTAATCGATTTACTTGGAACCAATAGACTAGTCAAGAAGTGAGCCAATTTAAAATCGTTAGTTTCGTAAACTCGAGCTAGCCATTAAATGACGCAGTTGTAGCAACCAGCGAGGCAACCGGTGGAAACTAAAGATTTCAATTTGGCTCACACTTGATTAGCCTATCGGTCCCAAGTACATCGATTAACGTACCCCATTCTAGTCGAAATTCTAGTACTACTTTATTGTTTTGATTCGCTATGAAGTTTGATAGATAAAATGAGGGGTTCGTGGATTTTCCTATGTTTCGAGGGGTGCATCGATAAGCTAGGGACCGAAGAGAGTACCAGAGCTGAGCCAAAAAGTTGAGCACATTTCTTCGGGACCTTCTTGTCTTAGAGTTACCTCCAGAGCTGCCAGGTGGTTTTATAAAAAATCTGTATCCACTCTATTAAAAAATCTGTATTTTCTGTATTGACGATTTTTTTCTTAATTAATCATGTTTTGTTGTTTTACAAATACAGTGCATACAAAATAACCATAAAAAGTGCTTAACCACCTATTCGGGCTATCGTACTGACCATACGGGATATAATTGCGCCATTTGTGATATCTTTTTTTTTTTTAATTCTTTATTTAAGAGATTTTTAGCCTTAGGCTAGTTCATCTCTAGATTTGTGATATCGTCCGTACTTATTTATAAGAGTGATATGAAGCCGTTTGAAAATGTATGGAGATTTTAGTTTCTATTCATTATCTTCCTGATAAGCAGTTTTAAATGCAAAAAAGTGCACGAGTTCATTACTATTTGATATTTTTAATATAGATGAATACAATTAATTACATCATTTGTGTGGTAGTTACACCGAAAAGTCGAGAGATGTCGCCCCGCCAGTGCTGGTAAAATCATTTTTGCAGTATGGAGAATATCAGAAAATCCGCAATTTCGTACGAAATACATTTTTAATGCAAGTAAAATGTTTACGAGAACTTGTATTTGTACTATTTTAATGTGCTCGGGCACTTTTCTTGTATTTAACATACATACTTAAATATATTGGAAATATTCAATTAATACTGTAAATCCCCATACAATCTCAAATCGTTTACTACCAGCTCCATATGCATCCGAAAGCGGTTGGTTCTCTGGTAGTGAATGCTGTCAAAAACACCATAACATGATTAATTCCAGAACAACATGTGAAAAGGGCATACAAGCTTTTTGTAAACAAACCTTCTTATGCCCTTTTCTCGCCACCCATATGACACCAACGCAAACCTTTAACATCACCGGGTAGGGGACACTTTCCCCTTCCCGATGATATTGCTGGTTTACGTGGGCGACCCTCGGTTGGTGAGAAAAGGGCCTACAAAGGTTTGTTTACAAAAAGCTTGTATGCCCTTTTCACATGTTGTTCTGGAATTGTCGATGGAAATTTGATAGGTTCCCGAGCAGAGGGTGAGAACAAAATGAAAACAAGAATTATGTTGTTTTCATTATTCCTGATAACTCAAATTGATTTCATTTTGATGTAGTTGATGGCTAACAGAACAAAAATGAGAGCTAAAAGATATGCGAAGAATATCAAAATTATAACATATATTGATATAAGTGAGAACTGCTTGATAACTTATTTTGATATAGATTTTTTTTTTCTCAAGCATTTTATAAAAATCTGTATAAATTTGTATTGTAATTTAAAAATCTGTGATAAATCTGTATTCTGTATCGGGTCTGTATTAAGATTAAAAAATCTGTATAATACAGATAAATCTGTATAAATGGCAGCGCTGGACCTCTATGGAGAAACTGTGCTGCCATATACTGTGATTCTAGCCGTAGATCTCCAGAAGGTAATGTATTTTAAGATGTAAAACAATGTTCAGGTTAAGCATTGATGAATATGAAGAAGACTACACGGCGAATGAGAACGACTCAAATTTGAGTTTTGTTCACTCATAATCACCAAAAGTACAGGTACGCAGGGATGAATAAATTTGCCTCATGGTTTCCAGTGGAAAACCTCAAAAATCTGCCGGAAAAATTGACGAAAATTTTACTAATTCTAGGAGTAGTACCAACACCAACCAACCGACATGAAACATGAACTTAACTTATGCTCAACAATTTCTAGCGGGTGATTCAAATGTGCAGCGATCCGATCTGTCAAAACCAAAGAATTTTTATCAAGATAAAAATTATTTGTCTATAATAGAATAGATCAAAAATTTGGCACGCGTATTCGTGGCTTAGACAAACGTTATTCCGCGAACACGAAGACAGATGTCAGTAGTGTGCTTTAGGCAGAAATGTCATAATAATTCATATGGCGAGTAATATGGTCATTCATGTCGGTTTTTCGGTGGTACCAATAGACTGAGTTAATCATATTCGGGAAGTATTCCTGGACAAACCTTGAACAACGTGGATAAACGTGAGGCAAATTTACTCATCGCTGTGTTTCTGCACTTCATGTGATTTATAAGTTAGCTAATCTCAAATTTGGGTCGTTCTCATTCGCCGTGTGGATTTTCAAATTTCTTCGAATTGTAAAACATTTGTGAACAAACAAAAATTTTAATTTTGACTCTAATTTGTTGTAACACCAGTTTTCTTACAGTAATAGGTTAGCTAATAAAGTTACTAGTTGCTGAAATAAATTTTTGGTTGCATATCAACAACAACATGTGAAAAGGGCATACAAACTTTTGGTAAACAAACCTTCTTATGCCCTTTTTTCACCATCCATATTACACCAACGCAAACCATCAACATCACCGGGTTAGGGGCAACTTTCCCCTTCCCGATGTTGTTGTTGGTTTGCGTGGGCAACCCTCGGCTGGCGAGAAAAGGGCCTACAAAGGTATGTTTATAAAAAAGCTTGCAGACCCTTTCACATGTGGCTCTTGATATTTTCAACTCTGAGCCTGTTATGTGTTTATTTGCGACATGGGACTGACAAGGTTTGCTATTTTGCCATCATTTCAGGAATAAACATAGCTGTTTCCTTTGAATTATTTAAGTACATTTAATGTTTCATGAATTTACCTTAAAAGTGGTAAAAAACTACGTTAGACTGTTATGCGTTTATTAGCAGTCTAAACCTTCATCAATCTTTACTATTGTTTGCACAGGCTCGCATGTTGGGGTTCTAAATCGAACTGAAGGGTGGCCTATCAGAAATTCATCGTTTTATTAAAATGAAGCACCCTAGTGCACACATATCCACAAACTGATTTAGGGTCTCATTTTCTTGCTCCTACTCTATTGCGACAAGCGTCACTTGTGCCCTACTTTCCAACTAGTCCAGAACTCCAGAGACGACAGAACAATCCTAAACTGAACCTAATTTGAAAATGAACCGCCGAAATAATAGATTCCACCTCCCGTAGTGCAGCAGCTGTGCTCTTTGGCTACAGCAAAAAGATACTCACTTATCGACGTGCTCGTCAAAGTGATTGAGCAGTTCCTCGTCCTTGCCGCTCTGCCGGAACTGGCACAGCGTGAGCAACCGCAGCAGGGCTAGCCCGATCAGTTGACCGCCGGCCACGTGACTGAGCCACAGCCGGTGGGGCCACATAATCAGCGCGATGCCTAAGGCCACATAGGGAAAGGACAACCGCCAGCCACCGCACAGCCGACAGATGTTCCAACACTTGTGACAGCTTGTTGAGAAGTCGTTGTCGCTGCTTCCTCCACTGCTGAAATGGAAAATCAAGAAGATAAAAGACGGAACGGTTTAGTTAGAAGGTGGAAATTCAATCAGACAACTTTGGGTGCAGCCAATAAGACCTAAACTCACTCCTACCCGGGGGAATTGGTAATTATTTGCCTGATGCAGGCAGTTTCAAAGGCTGGTGAGGGGGGAAACGAAACCTACAATTCGATTTGTCTGGGAAAGATAAATCTTTAGGATTACGTTCATCGAGTGGAACATTGCCAAAAAGCGGATTCGTTCCGATGTATTTATATCGGATGTAGAGAAAGTGATATGTAGCCGTACTATTAGGCTTGCATTTGTGCACATTGGTGTGTCGCAACAAACTACACAGCCACTACTGCTTGTGTTTGTCTATAGACGAAGCCAGGCCATAACTTATGAGGAGGCAACTCAAGAGTTTCTAAATATTTTCTTCAACATAGCATACCTCATGGAACCGGCAATCGTAGAAGTAAATTGTTGGAATTCTCTCAAGAATTTCCTGTAAATTAATTATATTTCATCAGAGTCGTGCCTACCTTGCTCCGCCAGTGTGCTAGAATGTTTTCCTTGAATTGTGGTCGGAGCCCGCTATCGGCACACCCGAGCTCTCCGAACGGATTGAAATTCCGTTAGGGTTATTCAATTAGAATTTTCCCGCAGTATAGTGGGGAATGCTAAAAATAATTGAACCTTGGAAGAGGCTTTCTCCATCATCGCATCGGTTCGACAATACAGAATTCCAGGCTGGGCGAGGAGGATTCCAGGAGCTTGTTATCACCAAGTCACGAACATTTGTGGGACGCTTTTCAGCTCTATCACAACGTGCCTAGTAGAGAAAGGAGTTCTGTTTTGCAACCGAGTGTTTCTAAATATTTGCGACATGTAGCATGAAATGTTTAATTTCCATCCATTCTACCTAATGCGTTAGGATAAAGGAACGGTATATCCAGCGTCTGCACTTTCCAAAAGCATCTTATCACGACTTACCTTGCACAAAGAAGATGGATGAATAGTGTGAAGAGCCATTTGATCTCCAGGATGAAAATAACGACGGAGGCAACTCTGAAAACAGAAAGCAAAGGGGGTAAAATTGAGAAAACTGCAGCAGCGTTCCTCGTGAAGGTGTACAAGTTTTTCTTTTGAAAGTAAACCATCAGTAGGCTTGGTAGAAATGAACAAAGAAGCAGTACACTTTGAAGAAAAGAAGAGCAACAGAAGTTTGATGTTTATGTAGATGGAGGAGTTTGTGAGGTTTAATTTTAGAACGCTTTTTGATAAAGTTGCACCCGGTGGGGTGAACTGGAACGTGATGCAAAAGCTGAAAACCAACTATGCTTGCGGAGCCATAATTCACCAATCGGAGGAAATTAAAACTGTCAACGAAGACAACTTTCCAGCCGTACGCTGTAGGTAGACGGAGACATTGGTCTGGTATAAGCAGTCCAATAAATGGCGCGTGAAGGAGATGGGTAATGACCCGTGAATAATGTCTTGGGTACGGATTTGCTTGCATTTAATTTACGGGAATCTTAATTTGGACATTAACTGCCACGAGAAAGAGTAGATTAATTTTAATTTTCAGGGGAAATTAATATCGAGCGATTATACCCGAGGCAAGGGCTATGCGAGATGGCTGCGGATTTTAAGATCGGGACCCAAGATAAGAATATTGCTTCCCGGAAGAAATACTGACCAATAACGTTCCTACTGGAATTCTAATTTCTGAGCACTTTCACAGTTATTAATTGAGAGTAGTTTGGGTGCACCAACACTGAGCTTGAGAAGTCTGAATTAGAATTGATAGATGTAGATTGCTTAAAACTGCCGATAATTTTAGCATTTGCCGATGACATATTAATCATAGCAAGAAGTATAAATGAGTTAGAGAATATTCTTAAAGTACTAGAAGAGGAGCTAAAGTAGGTCTTAAAATCAATAGGGAGAAAAGTCAAATTTTAGTTAGATACCAAAATGACACAGCTGTACAGCCAAACGAATTAATGCTTAATGGAACTGCTTTTAAAACTAGTGAATAAAGGGTGATACGGTCAAAACTTGGTCAAGGGAAAACGCGTGTAAATCGGTGAAATCGTTTATTTAAAAAATCAAATTAAATTTCTTTTTCAAGTTCAATTAGTATAAAATTCAGGAAAAATATTCAGTTAGGCTTCCGCTTTTCCAAATCCGAATTGCCGGGCCTTACGCTTGACCCCTGCCATCAGATTTTGTACAGCCACCTTGTCCACCTTCTTCGCCGCAGAAAGCCAGTTTGCCTTGAACTGCTGCTCGCCCTTAGCAGTTTTTTTGGTCTTCTTTAGGTTCCGCTTGACAATAGCCCAGTATTTCTCAATTGCGCGGAGCTCTGGCGTGTTGGGAGGGTTCTTGTCCTTGGGAACCACCTGCACGTTGTTGGCGGCGTACCACTCCATGGCCTTTTTACCGTAATGGCAAGATGCCAAATCCGGCCAAAACAGTACGGAACAACCGTGTTTCTTCAGGAAAGGCAGCAGACGTTTATTCAAACACTCTTTCACGTATATTTCTTGGTTGACAGTCCCGGAAGCTATGAAAATGCTGCTTTTCAAGCCACAGGTACAGATGGCTTGCCAAACCAGATATTTCTTTGCGAACTTTGACAGTTTCATGTGCTTGAAAACATCTGCTACCTTTCCCCTTCCTTTTGCCGTATAAAACTCCTGTTCCGGAAGCTGCTTGTAGTCGGCTTTGACGTAGGTTTCGTCGTCCATTACCACGCAGTCAAATTTCGTCAGCATCGTCGTGTACAGCCTCCGGGATCGCGCTTTGGCCGTCGTATTTTGTTTACCATCGCGATTTGGAGTCACTACCTTCTTGTAAGTCGATAGTCCGGCTCGTTTTTTGGCTCGATGCACGGTTGTAGACGATACACCCAGCTTATTTGCGGCATCTCGGAGAGAGAGGTTAGGGTTTCGCTTGAAACTACCGGCAACTCTCTTTGTCGTCTCAGCGGCTTCCGGTTTTCGATTTCCCCCCGATCCAGACTTCCTGGCTGTCGACAAACGTTCCCCAAACACTTTAATTACATTTGTAACGGTTGATTTGGCAACTTTTAGCGATTTTGCCAACTTTGCGTGCGAGTAGCTCGGATTTTCGCGATGCGCGAGCAAAATTTTGATACGCTGCTCTTCTTGCTTGGACGGCATTTTAACAACTGAAGAGTGAATTCCAAAATCAAAATAGGAGCAACATTCTACACACACACACCTTCAAAATGAGGGGTGTTCAGGTTTTTTAAATGCAAAATTGAAAGAAATACGTCAAGTTGATATTGACCAAATTTTGACCGTATCACCCTTTATATTAAGTATTTAGGAGTTTGTCTGACAGCAACCCTAAACAGGAATTTAACCAATAGGCATAGATCTATAAACGCTTTGAAAACTTCAAGATTAGTAGTAGATTTTTGTACACGATTTCATCCGAGTTGGAAATTTGGAAGGCTTATATATACTACAGTTTTGGCGCCAGCTTTATTATACGGAACTAAGGTAGCGGTATTAACAATGAAAAACAGGGTGGCACTAGCAAACTACGAAAAAATATTCTAAGGAACATTTTTAAGAGCTGTAAAAAACCAAGTAATATGAAATTTAATGCAAGATAAATTTTAGCAGGAAAAACAATAAATAGACGAGTTAGGGTAGGCAGAATAAGTTATTTTGGACATATCAGAAGAAGAGAGATGAATCATCCACTGCAATTAGCGTATAGATTCAAATTCAACAAGAAAAAATAGGGTAGGCCAAGGCTTACTTGGAGGAAATCATTAAATCAGGACTTTGATAGATATGAAGAACTTGATATAGAAGAATGGGAAAAACTAGCTTAGGACAAAGAAAAATTAAAAAAAGAAAGTGGTAGAAATTTACAAGAATGAGGATAGCGAAATTTCAGATGGTGTATCGACAGAAGAAGAAGATCAAGGAAAAGGAAGTTGTAAACCCTGGAAGAAAAAAGGATAAGACAGAGAATGTGTAACAAGGACCAAAAAAAAAAATAAAAAAAAAACAAAAAAAAACTAATCCTGGTTGTATCTCTTTTTCATTTGCATGCATTCCGGGTGACGAACGAACATGATGAAGAAGATGGCTTTATCACAGAGCCCCGTCTCGGAACGAGTGGATTGTTGAACGGCATGGTCTACGATCTACGATTCAAAATTGGTTTCTGTAATGATAAGTATTACTCATCGAAATGTAAGTATTATTGACAATAATCATAACAATCAACTCGTATATACATTGAAATACATAAATAAAAGGAAAGGGACGGTCCAACAGGGCACCCGATTGAAGCGATTTGGACGGGGAGAGTGGGAATGCCAACTCCCTGTTGATAACATTTCGTGGATAAAGGGCGGGCTCTTCTCCCCACTCATTGGGGCATCTTCCTGTTTGAGGGCTTGTCTTTTTGACCAATTGGCTGATCAAGTTGCTGGAAGGAAATTCTCTAGTTCCGTAGATGCGTATAGGCAACTTTGCCTATCGATCTACCCAATCCGTTTTTGGCCCTTCATACAGCGACATGTTGAGGACAATCAGAGGTTATTAAGCTTGATCAAGACAAACAGAGAAGAGAGCCCACTGCTGTCCGACTTAGTTTCCGTGCTACAATGGGTGGTAAACCACTATCATCATCATCATCACCAACACTGAGCTTGAGAAGTAATGGGTCTGGTGCTTTTTTTTACTAAGCCTAAGGCCCGCTGCCGTTCGATTCCCGGTCTGGTTTACTCATATAATAGTAGGGTTTCTGATATTTTTTTTTCTTAAGAACCAGAAGTCGCAATCTTCCATTGCAGAATGTTTCGACCTCAACTCGTGGATTATGTTTATTGTGAAGCTTTGAAGCTTTTTTGGAAACAGGCAGTCATTTATCTATTGTTCATTAATGACATCAGATGGAAGTTGATCACTTTTTTCCCGAAAAATCTGATTATTTTTTCAACTATATTTTTGGCACACAAAGAAGGGTATCTCAAACCTGTATATCAAATCTGATTTAAATGGTACATTAACAATGTAAATCCATCAACAAATGACCAAATTAAAGGTGTTTAAAACCTTTCATTATTTCGTGACGCTGCTTGGTATACCATACCTTAAAACGTAGGGGAAGGTACAACTAGCCCAGATAACGATTTGATACTTAATAAGTGTTGTTTCAACGATTTTAATTTTAATTAGTTTGAATAATTGTTGTACATACATAGACGTTAAAAGTGACATTTCGAAAGTTATTTTCTGTGTTCGAAAATCCCCGTGCTGTCAATCGACCGGTTTTCGAGCCGCGATTGTAAAAATTTAACTTCTTGTCTGTCAGAAATAATCATGTTCAGATAGCAGGGTTAATCAATACCTTTCCATCTGTCAAATTTTAACCAAAAGGTAAAAAGTAGCCAAATGGTTCAGGTATCGGTATTTACCGGTATTTATTATCGTAATTAAATTTATATTTTTACCATTTTTGATGCCAACAGATCAAACTTTTGGCCTTAGAACAGAAAATTTGATTTCCAGGAGAAGCCGGAAAAAATTCCCGGGCAATGTTTAAACTAGCTTCTGAAGGAAGCCGATCAAATTTCCAGAGAAAGAATAAAGTAGCTCTACTGGAGGAAGTTTGAAGAAAGTTCTAAGAGAAGCCAGAAAAACTTCCGGGGAACTTCCAAGACAACTATCGAGAAACTTCTGATGACAAGTTAAAGCAGCTTTCGGAAAAAAAAATCGGATGACACATCCAGAGGAAGCCAGACAAGATTTGGAAATCTGAAACAAATTCCAGAAGTAGTCATTTCCATGGAAAGCCAGAAGAAGCTCAGAAAAACCTTCCAATTAATGCCCAAAAAGAAATCTACGGGAATGACTTAAGGAGAAATTTCCAGAGGAAGACGATACATTTGGTGGAAGTTTAAGTAAACTTCCTGGAGGAGTAGGAATAAACTTTATGGAGACGGAAGAAGATGGCATAAACTTCCTAAGGTAGAGTGGAAGAAACTTCTGGAGAAAGTTGGAAGTCAGAGGGCT